TCTCACGCGGATCGTGCCCACAGGCAGGGAGCTCCACCTACGACGTCAGTGGCAGCGTTCGTGTGGGGAGCCTTCGCTGTTTTCGGCACATCACTCATGCGGGGTGCTCCACGGAGTTCAGCGCGTCTCTGCGTGCCTGGCCTGCGGCCCCTTGTCCGCACTGCCCGCGGCGCGAATTAATTTGGAGAGAGGGCAGCCTTCTGCGCTACACCCCAGGCTAGGTGTTTACTGGGGGGTGCGGACGAGCTTTCATGCTCGTAGCCTGTGAACAAATAGAGCGTGGACAGGTGGGCTGCTGGTGACCTGGGGACTGGGGAGCTGAAGCTGGTATCTTCCGGCGCTGACCTGGAAGCCTTCGAGGCAGCTTTGTTCTTCTCTCGCAGTGATGTGGGCCAGGCTTAACATACGAGGGGTCCGTGCAAGGAGATGGCGAAGTTTTGGGTCGCGTGCACACTGGTCAGATTGCATGGAGCTGTCCACGTGACTCCGCGCGCGCGTGTGTGTGTGTGTGTTTGTGTGTGTGTGTGACGTGAGCTTCCTGCACGGCTTCCTCGCAGCGTGCGAGTAGGGCACCGCGGTGCAGTCTCCTGAGTCGGGCGGTCATGACCGGACGAGCACCGATTTGTCGCTGTTTTGCCCTGTCACACACACCGAGTGCGCGTGCATATTTATTTCACAGATGATGAGGGTGGATGCCGTTTTAGCTGGGAGGAGATGGATTCACTTTTAGGATGGACGGAGGGGCAGAATCATATGTAAATTGCACATCCCCAGGGGGGTCCGATAACTCCGGGGGGGAGGTAGATCCTAATATTCTTTAAGAAGGAATAGGTTGTGCAATCTAGGCGGCGACGGGGCGGCGACGGCGAGCACGGAGCCGCCAGACCGACACCCAGGCCGAGACGACGGGCGGCGATGAGACGGCGACGGGGCGGCGACGGCGAGCACGGAACCGCCAGACCGGCACTCAGGTCCAGACGACGGGTGGCGACGAGGCGGCGATGGGGTTACGATGTCGAGCACGTAGCCGCCAGACCGACACCCAGTCCCAGCTCCCGAGAAAGAAATTTGCAACCCTATCTGCAAGCACTTTTTGGGTAATAGCACGCCATTGTTACTCCAAGATGGCCCCGCCATGACACCACGACCCTGAGATGATCCCAATGCATGGTCAAGTATGACCCCGGATCCGATCCGAAAACGGACCAACGATTTTGATATGACCCCAAGATAATCCGAGTACGATCCCATGCGCCCACGGTGACCTGAATATGACCACGTGCCCCCTACGATTACCCCAACAGGTTCCCAACATGGCCCTTGATTCCACGACCTCCAGAGGGCCCCAACTTTCCCTATACCCCCACCACGATCCCAGGAGGTTTGGGCAGGGATCTTCGACAACATTAGCTCTGACGTCAAAGGCACGGGAGCAGGTCAGTTCTCATCATCATTGACAAGCTCTGATGAGACGACCTGCGCACGTAACTAATCGTATATTACATCAAAACGGGCGGAAGGGGTTGCTGAGTTGCCGCTGCGTGAGTGTGCCGTGTATAGCGGGTTGCTGGCTCCGCGGCTCTCTTAAGGAAACAGACCGATACAGGACCACTTGGATCAAGCGCGGAACAGGCACAAAGGTTTTTCCGACATTCTGGTAGCGTGTGTGTGTGTGTGTCTCTCTCTCTCTCTATGTGTGTGTGTGTGTGTTTGCAGATTTGGCCATCACATGTCCAATTGTGGGTAGTCTCTGGGGCTCTGGCATGACAATACGAAGCTCTTCCTGCCTCCGAAGAACGTCGGGCCATAGCTTTAACGGGCCTGAGCCTAAACATCCGTCCACATGTTCCATGGGAGTTCCGCCTCAGAGTTTCCGGTGGGCCTTCCCAGATCAGAAACGTATACCGACACTCATACCGATGCCCTCTCCGTGTCTATTATTTGGTTTGCGTCTTGATTGGCACTTGCCGCCACGGCTGGACTCGCTTCAGAATCCTCGTCGGAGCGCGCCCTGGGGAGTGTCTCGGGATTTACGATATCTGTTTTTTTCACTTGTTCCAAGCCCTTCGCTTGATCCAGCCATGTCCACTGTTTCCGATTGTGTCGATATTTATTGTTACCCCAAGCCTTTCCTGTTGTTCCAGCCTTGGCCAGTTCCCTCAAGGTTTTGTAGCCTTGGCCAGCACAATTGTCACAACCGTTTGGGACTCACTCTTACCACGACTCGTTTTGTTTTTAGTTTTGTTTGGGGAGTGTCCAACCTATGCTCCATCCAGCTTCCTCGTAGGTATCCACCACCACCCCCGCCTCCAAGGCGCGGCCTGCTTGGAGGCGCGGTGGATACCTTTTCTTTTCCCGAAGCTCTAGGCCGCCCTGGTTGGGGAGGGGGAGTCGCAGCTTTAGATCGCCTGGGGACCTGCTGCTGCTGCTGCTGGTCTTCCTCCTTCCCTCCAGGGCTGGAGTAGATGGGTTCGGAGGATCGCGCTGCATCGCCGATGCATCGGCGATGCGGCTCGATGTGGAACCTCAGTTTTTCCGCGCCGACGGTGCCGATGCATCGGCGACGTCGCCGATACATCGGCGAGGCGGCGCAATCAGCTGACCCCATTCAAGTTCTCGAAACCCGTGTGGAAGGCCCTCTGTTCTCCGCCTCCTCCTCCAGAAGCCGCGATCAGCCGCCCCGGCTTGGGCGCGTGCCTCTCCGGGGCGCTCGATTCGCATGTCGACCGCGCGCGCACACTGTTGGCATGAAGTTCGGCAGCCGCCTGAAGGAGGAGCTGATCCCGGTGCTCGGGGAACAAACAATGACATAAACAAAAAACTCAGAGGCCCGCGCGGACTCCTCGGATCGGCGCTGGGGCCCCGCTGGTTGCGCTTGAGACGCCGCCGCTGGCGCGCTCCGCGCGCCAGGGAGCGGGTCCAGCGCGGATCCGAGGAACCCGCGCGGGCCTCAGAGCTTTTCAATGCTTATGTCATTGTTTGTTCCCCTAGGCGTGGGAGGACAATTACGTGGAGTACAAACTGCTGAAGAAGCAGCTGAAGCACCTCGATGAGCGGCAGTCGGCCCTGGCCTTCGGCAGGCTGCTCGAGGTGCAGCTCGCCAAGGTGACCTCCTTCATGCGCCTGCAGCAGGCCCTGATCGGCGAGGAGGTGGCTTGGCATCGCTCGGACGTGTGTATGTCTTTTCGGTGAGGACCATCGAGGAGCATCCTGGAGCATCGAGCAACAAAAGCACGCACGAAACCGACCAATGCACGGGCAATGGACGTCCGAGCGATGGCGAGGTGGAGCTGGACTTCCTGCCCCTCGCGCTCGAGCCCCCCCAGGGCCCCGCGGGGCCCGAGCGGGGCGCCGTGGGGCTGCCGGGCGACCTTGCGCTCGCGCGCTGCCAGAAGCTGGAGACGCAGATCCAGAGCTTCCGGGACTACGTGCAGCTCAACCAGGCCGGCCTCCGGAAGATTGTGAAGAAGTTCGACAAGCGGTTCCAGACTGTCTTCAGCGACGTCTACCGCGAGGCGCCCATCGTGCTGCCCTTCTCAGTGAGGGACGTCGAGGTCTGGATGCTGGGCCCGGCGCGCCACGTGCTCGCGGCGATGGGCCAGTGGAGCCTGTCGCCCGTCCGCCCGCTGGGGCAGGCCAGGTTCTGGGTCGAGGAGCTGCGGGTGGGCTGCCAGCTGGCCAGCGCGCACAGGTCCTCGTTCGACCCACCGACGCAGCTTCGGCTGGAGCTCTGCAGCACGGCGGCCCACGACAGTCTGGTGGTCAAGAACACGTTCATAGACGGCGTCGAGGGTGACACGGATCCTGTGGTGACCGAGCGCCAGACAGCCTTGCGGCTCCGCCGCGCGTATTCGATCCCGAGAAAACGAGCTCCAGTGGCAGACGACGAGGTGCAGATTCCAGTCCACATGGCAGCGCCCGCAGGACACTGCATCTGGCATCTCTCCAAGGAAGAGGTTGCCGTGCCTCAGCACGCAGTCGTACCCTGGAACGAGGACGCACCGCCGACGTCGAAGGCGAGGGCGAGCGAGCCCAGCGACGCGGTCATCGAGACGCCCGTCCGGCTCCTTCTCCTCCTCCTCCTCCTGCTTCTCTTCCTTCTCCTCCTACTCCTCCTCCTCCTCCTCCTCCTCCTCCTCCTCCTCCTCCTCCTCCTCCCGCCAGGGCGGAGCGCTCGAGACGAGACGCTGGCCGCGGCGCCCCCCCCGGCGGCGAGCTGGTTGGCGGCGGTGGAGCCGCCGCCACGAGCTCCCGCCGGCGCGGCGGCGGCACCGCCGCGGCGGCGGCGGCGGGGTGCGGGCTCGCCGTGGCCCGCGACGCGGGGCGAGGGCTCGCCACGGCGGCGGCGGCGGCCGCGCCCGGCGCCAGCGCTGCCGCCTCCGCGGTGGTCTGCAACGAAGATCGGGACGATCTGATGGGCCAATGTTCGCCCACCACTGCCAGATGTAGGACGGGGGAGAAGGGAGGATGGGGAGGTCCTCCTCTTCCTCCTCTTTCTCCTCCTCCTCCTCCTCCTCCTCCTCCTTCTCCTCCTTCTCCTCCCTCTCCTACCTACCTATGGTGGTTGTGGTGGTGGTGGAAAATCGGCCCATCATGATCGAGATGGGTACGGAAAAGACTGGGTACAAGGACCAGCAGCAGTTCCTGTTCCTGTTGGTCCAGGACTCGCCTATTTGAGGCAGAAGGCCACCTGCCCGACAGCGGCCGCTGTTGGTTTAGGACAACAGTTGTTGGGTGTTGTACTTATTTTTTCCGTACCCAGTGCGGGCGTCAAAAAGAAAGATACACAGACACCCTCCGTTGGATTGTCCCTGGGCCTCCCGGGGAGGGTGGCAGTGTACAAATCACCACTGGGAGCCAGCGACTCTCTGCACCGTCCCCTCCCTTGAGGCACATACACGCAAAGCTCGTCGGAGGGTGTCTGTGTACATCTGTTCGATGGCGTAGGCGGTGGCGCCGGCGGCGTGGAGCCACGGCGGTGGCGCCCATCTCGGCAACGGCTGCACCGCGGCGGAGCCGGGGGCCTACCGGGACCAGGCCGCGCCGGGCGGCCACGTGGGCCGCGCGCCGCCTGGCGCGGGCCGGCCGTCCGGGCCAGGGCCCGCTGCCGCGGCGGGCGGCGAGCGCGCGCGGTGGTGGAAGGAGGCCCCGGGGGGGGGGGGGGGGTCGCCAGACATCTGGCGTCTCGAGAAAGGCGAGGAAGGTTTTTGGCATCGTTTTCGGCCTCCGGGGGTCCTTACCGGGCCTCGGGGCCGTGGCACAAACGGCTCGGGCTGAAAAGCGGGTTTGGAAGGCCCCGGGGGGGGGGTGGACGCCAGACATCCTCGGGACGACCGAAATGGGTACGGAAAGAATGGGCACCATGCCCAACAGCAGTTCCTGTTCCTTTTGAACAGGACTCGCTGTCCGCGCCGCCGCGGCCTTCTGTCCATGCGAGACAGGAGGCCGCCTGCCCAACGGCGGCCGCAGTTGGTTTGGGACAACATTTGTTGTTGGGCATTGTACCCATTTTTTCCGCACCCATCCCTGACTCCGGATCCGCCCTACTTTGGGGAAATTCGTAAATGGGGCTTGGAATTTCCGCCCTACTTTTCAAGCCACGCTGATGCGCATTTCCGCCCTACTTTTCTGTGGCTGTTTCTGTGGATTTCCGCCCCATCTTACTCTGAGTACCTCAATAGTTCTGGGGTGCGCAATAGTCGGGGGGGGCCCCTGTAGTCCGGGGGGGAGGCCCCTGAAGTCCGGGGGGGGGTTCCTGTAGTCCGGGGGGGGGCCCTTGTAGTCCCGGGGGGGGGGCCCTTGTAGTCCGGGGGGGGCCCTTGTAGTCCGGGGGGGGGTTCCTGTAGTCCGGGGGGGGGACATTGTGGCAACCCGTAGCACTCGTGCTGGGCGTGGTGAGTGTAGTCCGTGGGGTCCTTGTAGTCCGGGGGGGGGTCCTTGTAGTCCGGGGGGGGGTCCTTGTAATCCGGGGGGGGGCCTTTGTAGTCCGGGGGGGGTCCCTGTAGTCCGGGGGGGGCCCTTGTAGTCCGGGGGGGGGGCCCTTGTACTCCGGGGGGCCCTTGTAGTCCGGGGGCCCAGGACTATTGAGGTATTCAGAGTATGTTGGGTGCAGCAATTTCCGCCCTACTTTTTCGGCCTCTTATGGGTGGATTTCCGACGCAATTTTAAGTTGGAAGAAAAGCCAAAGTAGGGCGGAACCGGAGTCAGGGATTTCGGGCGTCCAAACATCCGGCGTCTCGAAAAAGACGAGGAAGCTTTTTGGCATCGTTTTAGGCCTCCGGGGGTCCTTACCGGGCCTCGGGGCCGTGGCACGAGCGGCTCGGGCGGAAAATAGCGGGTCTGGAGGTGGTCGAGAGGCCGGCGGCCCGTGCCTCGAAGAGCCAGCAACGGCATACTTTCTGGGAGTTCCGCGCGGATCTCTTGGGCCGGCGCTGGAACCCTCCTGGCGGCGATCCAAGAAATCCGCCCGGAGCTCAGAGAAATTATGTAAATACACCTTCGAGTGGGGTCCTCACCACAGCTACCAGTCGTCTGGTGGCTGGCACGTTGGTGGTTGCGCTGTCGTCGGTCTGAAACGATATCATAACCGGAAACCGACGTTTCTGAACCACCATCTCGTCCTTCCGGGTGGTGGCTAGCGGGGCGGTCGTCCTGTGTGGGCCGTCCGCAAAGCCAGTCAGCCATCATGCAGATTTATCCGTCGCACGAACCACCAAGTCGTTCATCCCAGAGTCGGCTACGCGTGAAGGTGACTCTTCGCCACGGTGGCCTCTGGTGCTCGCGGGGGCGCCCAAAAACCCAAGTCAGCAGGCCGCTGCTGTCGCATCGTTATGCGAAGCGATCGGCAAGCCGCGCGCCAGAGGCCACTCTTGGCGCGCATGCCCTGACATCCTCGCGTCGTGGAAAAAGGCCGAAGTCAACCTGCATACTATGCAGGTTGACTTCAGTGATGGGCAACCCTTACTATGATAGTAAGGGTGGGCAATTTCCTATGGGTACCCTTGCACCCTTGCCTCCTCGGTCCATCCTTGGCCATTGTCGCTGGCCGCGCCCCACTCGAAAAGCTTCGAGATGGCCTTCCAAGGCCCTTGCATCCTTATCGTGTATCCTTCTGATACGGGCCGACTGTATTTGCTGATGTCCTCGCGTTGTGGGAAAAGATTAGGCGGAAGGTTCTGACAATCCTCGGCCTCCAGGGCCCCTCTCCATGCCCCAGGACCGTCAAAAACAGGCCTCGGACAAAAAAATACAGCGAGCACGCATGCCACATCCATCGGTCAACGCCTCCCTCTTCCCCCAACTGTTCCAAGTTGGCGGTAGGTCTGATGAGTTGCACCTGGACCGCAGTCTCCCCCGCGCGTGCCAACTTTGAGTTTTGGGGGAGTGGAGGGAGGAGGAGGGGAGGAGGAGGGGAGGGAGGAGGAGGGGAGGAGGAGGAGGAGGAGGAGGGGGAGGGAGGGAGGAGGAGGGAGGAGGGAGAGGGGGAGGAGGGGGAGGAGGGAGGAGGAGAGGAGAGGAGGAGGAGGAGAGAGGAGGAGGAGGAGGAGGAGGAGGAGGAGGAGGAGGAGGAGGGGAGTTTCCACTAATTCTTTCCCCCTGCCGCCGTGGCTGAGGACGAAGAGCTGGTTCCTGGGAAGAGGGGCCCCGACCTCCGGGGGGTGCCGCGCGCTGTGAGCAACGTCGAGCTGTTGGAATGCCTTGCTTCGAGGGCCGACGATCGATTTCCTTCGTGACGTTTTTCGATTTTCGTGGGCTTTTTCAGCGGCGAGCGAGGGGGGGAATCGGGAAGGAGAAGGCCTTCTCAGCAGGGTCGGGAAGTCCCCTGACCTTCTGAGACAGTTTTCCCAGCCTTCCCCGAAGACAAACAACTTCTCAGAGGGCGCGAGGGCTTCCGAGAAGTCCCGCCGCCTTCTGAGAAGGCCTTCTCCTTCTCATCTCCCCCCCTCGCTCGCCGCCGATGTTCAGGGGCGCCCCCGTCGCCACGGCTGGATTTCCTCTTCGATGCCGAGCCCCCCTGGACATCTCGATCCCTTTCCCGATCGAGGCCGGCTCTTCGGCACGACTCGTTTGTTGGCGGCGGTCCCGAGGTGCACAACCCGTGTCAGGGGCAACACATGAAGACATGCCTCAAACCGGCTGCCTCGATGCTTTCGAGGCGCCAGATGCATGGGCCTGGCGTCGCGAAAACATGCGACGGCCGGTTCCCCCCATGATCTCGGATGTTGGGGTCCCATGGCGGGTCCTGGGACCAGTAGAAAAGTCCAGGACGAGCAGCCAGCCCCCGTGACGGGTGAAGAGTCTGGCCTTGAGCAGGCCAGGCACAATTGGGGGAGCTGTGGTCCTTACCCCCCCTGGGAGACCCATCGATTTCGACACCCCTCTCGAGAGATCGTCGATGCGATGGGTCCCCCAGGGGGGTAAGGACCACAGCCCCCACAGTTAGGGCTGGTCGGTTGAGATCCGACGTCGCGTCATAGTTGCACCCTCGCGGGACATCGCCACCCGGGCCCTGCACCCCGCCTCCTCTCCGGCAGCCCCCGAGCCGTATATCGACCTGCGATGGCCTCCGCGGGGCCCGCGCCCGGACGCGAGGAAACCCTCGGTGCGAGCGCGCCTGCGACGCCAGGACCTCGGCGCTGGGGGCCTTGCCCGCCCCTCGCGGGGGACCGGGGGCGGGGGGGACCCAGGCATGCGATGTCCTGATTTCTCGGATGCTGACAGACCTCCTACCCTGACACGCCGATTAGCGAATTGGCCGTCTTCGGTGCGCGAGGGGGCGCCGCGGCCCTCATTTTTGCGGGTCCAGGTCGGTCGGTTTCGGTCCCAGGCCGCTTTCACTAAGGGGAGGTTTACTAAAAGGAGGGTTAACCACCGCCGAATTTCTTCAATCAGGCGATCGCACACATGGATTAAAGGCGGCGTGGATTTGCGACGGGTCCCGTTTCCCAGGGAGAATCGCGGATCTCCGCCGCCGGAGGAGGCGGCACCGGCCGCGTTTTGGGGAGGGCCCCCGCCCCCCCCCGATCCATGGATTTGGCGACCGCGCGCCCAATCCATGGATCGCTAATCCATCTTTGCGTCTCCGGTGCAATGCTCAGTCCCTGGAAGCCCCGACCCTCTCTCCAGGGCCGGTCCAGTTTCGCATCCCGAGCTGCATCTGGACGGCCCCCCGGCCCTGCAAGCTGCAAGGGCCCCCCCAGCGGGGGAAAAAAGCACAGAACAGCGCCCGTCCTGTTTGTCCCAACCACTTTTTGAGGTTTGTTTGAAGGACTTTTTTTGATGATTTGTTTTTGGAGAGCTCAGAACATTCGGGGGAGCGTAAGACCCGGGTTTGCCAGGACTCGGGTTCGCCATCGTTTTTTGACGACCGCGACTCGGATTTTGACGAGGAGGAGTTTTGTGGGATGTCTGCAGCGGGAGGCCTCGTCAAAATGCAGGCTCGGCCTCGTCATTTTTTCGACGACCTCGTCGGGGATTTCCGAGTCCCCCGTGCCCGGGTCTTACGTCTCCCCGAGACATGCAGAGGGGACAGCTTCGAGGGCGCGGCGTGCCCGGGAAGGCTGCGGGGCAACAGGCCCCCCCCCCCCCCCCCGGAGGTGCACGACGTGTGCCCCCTGTCGGGGTTCCCCGTGGCCATGCTGCCCTACCCGCCCTGCACGGAGGGGCGGACAGCGGCGCGACAGCGGCACGAGCACGCGGTGGGGGCCCATGCCAAAAGAAGCACCCTGCTTGCCTCCTCCTCCTCCTCCTCCGCCTCCTCCTCCTCCTCCTCCGCCTCCTCCTCCTCCTCCTCCTCCGCCTCCTCCTCCTCCTCCTCCTCCTCCGCCTCCTCCTCCTTCTCCTCCGCCTCCTCCTCCTCCTCCTCCTCCTCCTCCTCCTCCTCCCAGGGTGCCCTGGGTTTCTGGGGCTTCGATGGTTCTGCTGTGGAGAGCGCGACGCTCCCACCCCACAAATCAGTGGACGTCCTGGGGTCTCAGGGTTGGGTTTCTTGTGGAAGGTCTCTTGTGGTCGGGCCCCTACTGTATGTAAGCTTTCGGAGGCCCGCGCAGATGTCTGTTGGATCTGCGCCAGGACCGCCTCATGTGGCGCGCGGAGCGCGCCATGGGGCGGCCCATGGCGCCGGTCCAAGGAGGATATCCGCGCGGGCGGCTCGAAACATCCGTGCGTGCCGTTCTCTGGGCTCCTCTGCCCTCAAGCTGCGCCTGGACCCCCCGCAGAGCTCCCCCGTCTTCGTCGACAGCCAGTACCTCGTGCTGCGCGTCCTGGCCTCCTGGGACTTCGGCGTGCTGGGGCGGGCCCTGGACGCCGCCGACGTCTGCGCGCTCGACGGGCACATGCAGAAGTGCAAGCTCGGGCCGTGGCGGCTCGGGAAGGCTCGGCTTCGGGCACGTCCCCAGACACTTACAAAGTTTTCAGTCAGGCATGCCCCTCGTGTACAGGAGGAGCACTCCAAAGCAGCTCCACAGAACAGGCAGGGGGCGATTCCTCTGCTCTTTCGGGCCCCGTCATGGCATTGTCTGACTATCTCAAACGTTTCTTCCAAAGTCCGCCTGTAGGAAATCATTCAGGAGGAAAAGAAACACACAGACACAATTAATCCTCGATTCCCCAGAAAATTCGGGAAAATATGGGAAGCGGGGGGGAAGACCGAAACCCCGAAGACATGCGAAAATATGGGGATTCTATTTATTTGTGTGTATTGTTATTCGTGTGTCCTGGGGCCCTTTCAGTCATGCCGACCTCCGGCTGCTCCAATTCGTCGAGGCATGGGCCCCGGAGGCCCCGACCCCTTCCCTGCATATAGGGGCTGGCTCTGCGTCCCGCGGGCCCTCCTCTCGACGCTCCCTCGATCGCCGGCGAGGGCCGCCGGAGGCCGAGGACGGCCCCGCGACCGCCCGCTCCAACTTTTTGGGGGAGCGTCGTCTCTCTGGGTCTGGGGGTTGACCCTGACCTTCCAGAGTGCTACAAAAAATAGCTCTCCAGACCTTATATATATATATATATATATATATAGGCCTATCTGGACTTCTGATAGAACCTCGACAGGAATTCAGACGTCAAGGCCCTGGGGCTATGTTTGAGCCCTCCTGGAGCGTCAGGGGGAGGAGGCCCAGCACTGGCTCCGGCCAGACGAGGAAGGGCGCGCAGCTTCGAGGCTCTGGGCTCGGGATTTTGGTTCTCTGTGCTGCCTCCAGAGGCCGTGCTCGACCCCCCATGGGGGGCGACCGCCCACGAGAAGGGCTCCCGGGGGCGCAGACCTGCTCCCCACGGTGGGCCCCAGCAGGCGCCCGGGGGCCGAGCCATGAGCCTTGGCATCGCTCGGCCGTGTGCATTGTTTTCCTTCGGCGAGGACCATCGAGGAGCATCCTGGACCACGTGGCGAACAAGCCACGCACGAGGCCGAACAAAAGCACAGGGAATGGGCGTCCGAGCGATGGCGAGGAGCGGGGCTGGCCTCGCCCCCCCCTCCCGGCCGCTGTCCGGGGGCCCCGACCGGTTCGGGCCCCCTGGCTGCATAGCCGAGGCCCTGCGGCTGAGCGCGGAGGGCCGCCTGGCCGACCTGGCGGACCTGCGCGCCAAGGCGGGGGGGGGCACGGCCGTCGGGGGCGTGCGGCTCGCGCGGCGGCAAGAGATCAGGGCGGAAGGTTTCTGGACGCCTTTCGGCTTCCAGGGGCTCCCTGGGATCGCTCGGACGTGTGTATTTTTTGTTTTTTTTCTCGGCGAGGACCCTTGAGGACCATCCTGGACCATCGAGCAACAAAAAACGCGCACGAAGCCAGAAAATGCACGGGAAATGGACGTCCGAGCGACGGCAAGGCTCTCGCTGGGCCCTGGCGCCGTCAACAAACGAGTCAGGATGAAGAATTGTCCGGCGGAAGGGGTCCAGAGACCCCCTCGGGTCCACTGTCAGGGAATGTACAACATTGGGGCCGAATGCCCAGATGATCTTCAGACTGTTACGGTGAGGGCCACAATATGGGGGGGTTATGAGGGGGGAGCACGTTGGAGGGGGCCACGATGGGGGGATCGGGAGAAGGATAGGGGGTAACGGCAGGGATAGGGATCGTAGGGATAGGGGAAGGGTGTAGGGAGAGGGATCGGGCTGGGGGTACAGTGCCGTTTTTGACATACATGCTCCCCGTGCGGAGCATGTCTTAAAATGCAGGGATTGTGGTACCAAGAGCAACGATGAGCTCATGCATACATTCATCCATACACTGATCATGTATGACAAGCCCTCCATTAAACAAACAAATCCCATGTGCTAAAAGCTGCCCTATATGTTTAACAAATCCCATGTGCTAAAAACTGCCCTGTAGGGATAGGGGAAGGGTGTAGGGAGAGGGATCGGGCTGGGAGGGGCGGCACTGGGAGGCCCAACGGGAGGGCAGCGGGCGGCCACGGCAGGCCACGGGCGGCACCAGGAGGCCCACCGGCAGGCCCAACCGGGAGGCCCCCACCGGGAGGGCCCCACCGGGAGGGCCCCACGGGAGGCCACGGGCGGCCACGGGAGGGCGCGGCGGTGCAGGCCACGGAGAGGGCAGCGGGAGGCGCGGGGAGGCCGCGTCGCCTCGCCGAGTCCCTGATTCGGGCCAGGTCACGACGCGTGCCGTTTTTTTGGGGAAGGGGGGGGGGTCCCGATCGGGCAAGGTCACGACGCGTGCCGTTTTTTGGGGAAGGGGGGGGGGGCGCGGGCCTCAGGAGTGTGTGTGTGGACAGCGCGGCCGGAGCCGTGCGGGCTCCCGGACTCACCGGCGCCCTCCTTCCCTTTCTCTCGGCAGGCTCCCGGGCCTCAGGAGTGTGTGTGTGTGTGTGGACAGCGCGGCCGGAGCCGTGCGGGCTCCCGGACTCGCTGGCTCCCTCCTTCTCTCTCTCTCTCTCTCTCGGCAGGCTCCCGGGGCCCCCGCGCGCCCGCGCGCATAGGCCGCGGCGCCGCGGTGCCGCTGCGCTGTTGCCCTCCAGTCCCAAAACGGGCCCTCCCGGAGAGCAAGAGGAACGGCAGCGGGACCTGACGAGTCTAGTTTCGGGCCGGGCGAAAGGGGGGGATTGGGAAAGGGGGGGTTACGAAATTTGCTGCATGCAGCTGGTTTGGCCTCACCGAGGGGCCCATTCCTCGATACATGAGCGCCTCCGGCGCCGGGAGGCGCCGGGAAAATCAGCTACGTGAGCTGATTCTCAAACCCCCCCTTTGCTATCCCCCCCTTTCGCCCGGCCCGATAGTTGTAGGGTCGTCGTGGCTTGAGCAGTCCTCCAGTCCTAACGGACCTCCAGTCTTTAGCTGTAAGGTCGTCTTGCGCTTTTGCCCTCCAGTCCCAAAACGGGCCCTCCGGGAGAGCAAAAGGAACGGCAGCGGGACCTGACGAGTCTAGTTGTAGGGTCGTCGTGGCTTGTGCAGTGCTGATAATTAATGGGGTCCGTCGGTCCGGAGGCCTGTCGGCAGAAGATGCCGACATCGCTGCTCCCCAGACCTATCCCAGGGTGCGCTCGTTTTGACCACGGCCTCGACATCAGGAGTCCTCTCATTTAGCAGACGTGTAATATCATGTGTTGCTGGCACACGGGATCGGTTTCAAGTCAATGTGTAAGCTATGTGGTCAGTGATGCATAATTCCCGCGATATGTTCATTAGATCTACGCTTGCGAGAACGAGGTGTTCAACTGTTCGAGCTAAATTGTTGAGCGTTGTCATTTCTCTCACTCTCTCTCTCTCTCTCTACAAATTTAAGATCGTCGACTTGACGTTGCAAGCGCATTCTATAGCCTCTCGGCCCCATGGAACCACAGACCAACAAAAACAAAGTCCGAGGGGCGCTGTGCAGCGGTATCGAGTCAAATTGGTATCCAGAGCTATTCTAGATTCGCGCCCCGAGAAATCCGGCAAGATGGCTCCAGGTATCTTTCGGTATGTTATCAGAGGTACCCGTCAATCTACAGCGTGAAGAATCCGAAGAGGTCTCCGCTTTGGTCTCCCGTGGTAACCCAAGAGGTATCCCAAGAGCTATCCAAAGGTATGCCAAGAGGCATCTCAAAAGGTATCCCAAGAGGTATCCCAAATAGGTGTCCCGAAATATCCCGAAAAGGCTTGGTTGAGGTTTCCGATGCGGTATCCCGAGGTCTCCTGAGATGGCGTCGTCGAGGGAATCCAGGACGGATCCAGAGGTAACCCCACGCGTGGCACATAATGGATCCCGCAGATTATCCATGCGTGTACGCTGCCTGCTGGCACAGTTCATATGTCGGGCGTCAGTGTTTGCAAGTGTTTGTCCGAGTTTGCATTGGAGGGTGGCCGTTGTGAGGTGCAGTAACTTGACTGCGGGTTTTGGCCGCGGTCGCGCGTAACTAAACTTCCGAAGCTGGGCAATGCACATCAAGTTTCTAATATGACTCGGACGTGAGTGACCGTCTAGTACGCGTTTGCAGAACCTACGAAGCAACTTACATATGCGAAATGATGAGTTTGTCGAACTTGTAACTCGTGTTACACGTTCATCAGGAGGGGAAAAAACACACAGACACAATGAATCGTCGATCCCCCAGAAAATATGGGAAAATATGGGAAATGGGCGGGAAGACAAAAACACCGAAAATATGAGAAACTATGTTTTTTTATATTTGTGTGTGTGTGTGTTTATTTGTGTGTCCTTGGGCCCCTTCAGTTCTGGGCGTCCAATGCAGGGCCCATTTCGATCCGGTCGATCCGATTCGATATCGATCTCGGCCATTTCGATATCCGATTCGACTTCGACCTCCCAGCGATATCCGATGCGGCCCGATGCTCGCACGGCGCTGCTGTGCATCCGGGTGCAGCCGGCCCGATCCGATTTCGACTCCGTGCCCGAGGAGGAGGAGGAGGAGGAGGAGGAGGAGGAGGAGGGGGAGGAGGAGGAGGAGGAGGAGGAGGAGGAGGAGGAGGAGGAGGAGGAGGAGGAGGAGGAGGAGCGGCCCGACCTGGCGCACACTCAGATGCGATCAGCTTTCCCGATTCGATGCCGACTGATCCTGCAGCGATCCCTGAGGGCGGTGAGCCTGGCCGAGGCGACCGGGGGGCTTCCCGGGAGGCCCTCGGGGAGGCGCAGACGCCGCCGTGGAGGAGGTCAGGGAAGCGGGTCCTGCAGACCCCGCGGCTCTCCCCGCGGGGTCAGCTCTTCACCCCCAGACCCCCTCGACTCATGAAGCGAAACTCGACGGAAGGTTTTTGGCTATCTTCGGCCTCTGGAGGACTTGACTGGGCCTCGGGACCGTCAAACAACGACTTGGGACGAAACACCCGTCCTGGCTGGGGGATGAGGACGACGAGCAGGGCTGCTGGAGCCCCTCCCCTCCGAAGGGTCCCCGCGTCCTCCATGTCGCAAATGCGACGGGGCGTGTGGGGGCCATCAGTGATGCTCCTCCGCGAAGGGGGAGGGGGGAGGGCGGTGAGGGAGCCATGGAGGAGGGGGGGGAGGAGGTCCTCCTCTCTCCCGCCTCCTGTCAGGGAAAGAGGGGGATGGAACATAGATTTTGACGTGCGTGGGGAGGAGGAGGAGGAGGACCAGTGTAAGCCCAAGAGGCATCAACGATGTTGGAATACATCCTCCCTCCAAGCTCCCTTTTCATATGCCCCTCCAACGGTTCATTTTTTCTGCGGGAGCTGCCTCGTTGGAAGACAAGTTTTTGAAGACCCTGAAGCATGCCAAAACATTGTTCACGGATCGACCTGACTGGTGCGTTTTGATGAGCCGGATCGTGCCAGAACGCCATTCCTGGGACCTCGACGCCGCGAATCAACGTAATTTGTGCACCCTCATAAGCCAGAGCCCCTCCAACACGCCTTTTCTGGTACGTTGATCATGGGAATCCGTGAAACTCTGGCAAAGGTTTGAACATTAGTGTGCGCGACGCTAAGGCGAGAGCCACATTTTGAAAAGGAACCCGTGAAACTCTTGCAACTTTCTAATCCGAATGTGCACGGCGCTAAGGCGAGAGCAGCATTTTGAGCACCATTCGCCCTCAATCCGTGAAGCTCTTGCAATTTTGTCACACGAATGTGCACGGCGCTACAGCGAGAACCACATATTGAAAACCACTCGCCCTCAATCCGTGAAGCTCTCGAATTTTTTAAGACGAATGTGCGCGGTGCTAAGGCGAGAGCCACATTTTGAAAACCACGCGCCCTCAATGCGTGAATCTCTTGCAAATGTTTAAGACGAATGTGCGCGGCGCTAAGGCGAGAGTCACATTTTGAAAACCACTCGCCCTCAATGTGTGAATCTCTTGCAAATGTTGAAGACGAATGTGCGCGGCGCTAAGGCGAGAGCCACATTTGAAAAGGAACCCGTGTAACTCTTGCAATTTTCTAATCCGAATGTGCACCGCGCTCAGGCGAGAGCAACATTTTGAGCACCATTCGCTCTCAACCCGTGACGCTCTTGCAATTTTGTAACACGAATGTGCACGGCGCTACAGCGAGAGCCGAATTTTGAAAACCATTCGCCCTCAATGCGTGAAGCTCTTGCACATGTTTAAGACGAATGTGCGCGGCGCTGAGGCGAGAGCACCATTTTGAAAACCACTCGCCCTCCATGTGTGAAACTGTTGCCAAATTTGTAAGCATCAGAGTCATAAATGATGAGGAATGAGGAAGTTTCAGGCGAAACGTCCGGCCCGCCCTAAACACTTGCATCGGGGTGCGACAGGGAGAAATTATTTGTTGAAGAGAAGGAATGGAGGAGGAGGAGGAGGAGGAGGAGGAGGAGGAGGAGGAGGAGGAGGAGGAGGAGGAGGAGGAGGCGGGAGGAGGAGGAGGAGGAGGAGGAGGAGGAGGCGGAGGCGGAGGCGGAGGCGGAGGCGGAGGCGGAGGAGGAGGAGGAGGAGGAGGAGGAGGAGGAGGAGGAGGAGGCGGAGGAGGAGGAGGAGGAGGAGGAGGAGGAGGAGGAGGAGGAGGAGGAGGAAGGGAGGAGGAGGAGGACGAGGAGGAGGAGGAGGGAAAGAGGGAGTGGCCTCGGCCCCGTCCTCACATCCCCCCCCCCGAGAATCGAGAGACTGCTGCGAGTGCTGGCCCCTCGTGGGGGTGGCGACCCGGCTGCTCTCCAGGGTGGCGGGCCGCGCTCGCCAGGGGCCGCGCGGGCGGAGCCCGAGCGTCCCCCGGCAGCTTTTCGAGGCCGATCCGGTTTATTTTGTCGGGGGCGGAAAAGAGGGGGGTGATGACTAGGGGGGGGTGGATATCATGGCTGGGGCCATGATATTTCCCCAGATTTCATGGCGCCCCTTCTCATTTCATTACGTCCCTGGCCCCCCCGCTGGGGCGCGCACATGCCGCTGGTCATGATTTGCACCCCCCCCTCTTGGACACCCCCCTCTTGGCCGCTCCCGAATTTTCGATCGTCGCGTAGACGACGCCCAGGTGTCTAGTGCAGCAGGTCTGGGCCTCCTGGATGGGGTGGAAGTAGATGGGGTCGGAGGATCACGCCGCATCGCCGATGCGTCGGCCATGCGGCTCGATGTGGAACCCGATTTGTTCCACGCCGATGCATCGCCGGTGCATCGCCGATGCATCGCCGGTGCATCGCCGATGCATCGCCGATGCATCGCCGATGCATCGCCGATGATTCGCTGATGTACCGCGGAGGCGGTGACATCCTCCGGCCCTATTTACTCGGACCCCACCTGGGAGGCCTCTGAAAGAGGTGTGCGACAAGCCGCGACGGGGCCCAGAGGGCGCGCGACGAGCCCCAGGAGAGTGTGGACTTTGTCGTCGAGGAGGAGGAGGAGGAGGAGGAGGAGGAGGAGGAGGAGGAGGAGGAGGAGGAGGAGCAGGAGGAGGAGGAGGAGGAGGAGGAGGAGGAGGAGGAGCGTGAGGATCGAGGCGCAGAGGATGGGGCCCAGAGCCTCAGAGCCGGAGGGCACGCCCGCTCCGTGCCCAGCGGGGACGGGGGCGGATCGGCCCAGGCACCCTTGAGGGGCCCGAACCGAACCGAGCCCCCCGCGAGCAGGCCCGCCGGAAGCTCGACGCGCTGCGGCACATCCAGCGGTCGCGGCTGGGCCAGGGCGCGCCGCAGGTCGGCGAAGCGAAGTCCGAAGCCCACCCGATCGCCGAGCAAAGGCTTCGGGCAGCTCGGTGGTGTAGGGCCCCAGGGAGCCGACGCTCCGGAAACTTGGGGCGGGGCAGGTCTTCGGCCGTTGTCGGCCTCCAGGGGCCCTCGCCGGGTCTCGGGAGCGTCAAGCAATCTCAGTCATTCCGGGCGCAGAACTGGCCCCCCAGGCCTCCGGGGCCCACGCATGGACAAAAATGAGAGCAGCCAGATGTCCGGGGCTCGGAATTCGCCGAGGACGCGGCGAAATTCGAACCCTGCGCCCGCCTCCCGTCGAGTCCGGATCATCGACGGCTGGTGGGGGGGGGCAGGGTTCCCAGACCCCCGACGTCATGAGTTTTTCATGACGTCGACCCCCAGACCGAGGCCCCGACCCATTTTCCGGGCCGATTTCTCATCCTGCGGGCGTTATCCTGGTCTTGGCATCGCTCGGACGTGTGCATGTTTCCTTCGGCGAGGACCATCGAGGAGCATCCTTGACCACTTGGCGACAAGCCACGCGCGAACCCGACAAAAAACACAGGGAGTGGACGTCCGAGCGGTGGCCAGTGGTGGCCCCGAGGCCCGCGCCCGCAGGGTGCACGGAGCGACACGCCTCCCGCGTCGTGCTTGTTGCACGGCGCCCACCCCCCCTGCCCCGGGCACCGGCCTTCCGTCCCGAGCCGCGCCGTGCCCCTGCCGCGACGCGCCCGGCTCTTCAGGGCCCCCGGGGCCCGAGCACGTGCAGAAAAACCCGCCCGCTGTGACTTCTCCGTACGCCTCGAGGGGGTCCCAGAGAGCCGACGTCGTGATCTTTTCCATGCGGGGCCCCCGGAAGTCTCGACCCCTTTTCCCCAGGGCCGGCTCTTTGCGTCCTTTTTTGGACGGCCCCGGGGCCCGGCGAGGGCCGCCAGGGGCCGACAAAAATAGCGAAAAACTTGCGTCCGGATTTCTGCCAATGTACGTCGGAGGCCTGGGGTCCTTTGGGGGGCCTCGGACGCCTCGACGCCGCGCAGGGCGCCCCCCCCGGCCGCGGCGAGGCGGCGGGCGGCTCGGGCGGCCGGCCGGGCGCGGGCCCGGCGCGCGCCGCCGCGGCCGGCGCCCCGGGGCTCTGGCGCGGCTGAGCCGCGGGCCCTCTTGGGCGGTCCCGGAGCGGCAGCCGTCTGCCCGCGGGGTCGCCTGGGAGCCAGCGCGCGGGCCTCTTTGGTCTGGACGCCCGAGATGGGTACGGAAAGGATGGGTGCAAGGCCCAACCCAGACCTGCTCGCGTCGTAAAAAAAATCAGGACGGCGCAGTTGTTGGCAACTTTCGGCCCCTGGGGGCCCTCGCCGGGCCCTCGGGCCGTCAAAGAACGGCGCAGGACGAGAAACCAGCCCCAGGGAAAGGGTCGGGACTTCCGGGGACGCCGTCCTGAAAAAATCAGGTCGGCGCATGTCTGGGAATGGGTACGGAAAGAATGGGTACAATAATGCCCAACAACAGTTCTTGTTCATTCTGAACAGGACTCGCTGTCCGCGCCGCCGCGGCCTGTGTCCCTTCGAGACAGAAGGTCGCCGCGTCCGCCAGCGGCCGCTGTTGGTTTGGGGCAACATGTGTTGTTGGGTATTGTACAATTTTTTCCGTACCCCTTTCGGGTGTCCAAATTTGGGAGCCCAGACCTCCTCGCGTCGTGGGAAGAGTTTTGTGCGGCGGGACGCGCTTCGCCATGGTCGGCTCGAGTCGGGCCTGTCCCCCCACAGGGGGATTGTCGACGAGAAATGAGAAATGCCCCCAAAATAGTCCAAACATAGTCTGGGGACTATTTTCTGAGTATTGTTTAGCCTTTTTGGCGCATTTTTTAGGTTTTTTTTTTATTTTTCGTCGAAAATCCCCCTGTAGGGGGACACGCCCGACATAAGCCCAGACCTCCTCGATCGCGTCGTGGGAAGAACTGTGTTCGGCGGGAGGCGTTTCGCCATGGTCGGCATCTGGGGGCCCTCACCGGGCCTCGTGACCGTGAGCCAAACGATCCGGGAGGGGGCACCGGTCCTCGGGGAACGGGTCCAGACCTCGGGGGTCGACGCTGTGAAACGATCACGACGTCGGGGGTCTGGGGGGCCAACACTTGACTCTTCGAGTAGGGGACATCGACTGCAGAATTGATTCGCCCCCCGCACTGATTTCCCCGCCGAGTCTACGACAGACGGGCAGGAGGTCCCGCAGATCTGCGAGCGCTCTGCATCGTGCTTCTCGTAGATATATCGACGGGAACCTCGATTTCAGGGAGGAGGAGGGAGGAGGAGGGAGGAGGAGGGAGGAGGAGGGAGGAGGAGGGAGGAGGGGAGGAGGGAGGAGGAGAGGAGGAGGAGGGAGGAGGGGAGGAGGAGGGAGGAGGAGGGAGGAGGGTCAATCAGTTCTGCAGTCCATCCCCCCCTCGAACTCTTGAGCCCACGTCCGAAGCAACGGGCGCGCCCCTCCTGCCGGGACACGGGGTGGCCCTGTCCCGGCGCGGCAGCGGCGCGTGGGCGCCGCCTGCTGCGCAAGAGGAGCCGCGCGCGCGAGAGCCGCCAGAGCCTGGCCCGCACTGTGGAAGGGACAGTGCGGATCCTCCAGTGCGCGTTGCAGGCACGGGCGCATGGCCCCCTTCTCAGACGAGGAGGAGGGACTCCTACCGCCACCCTCCCCTCGTTTCCCCACTTGGGGACCTCCTGGGAGGCCCTCGTCGCCACCGCCGGAGATTCGCCTCGAAGTCCGGGTCAGGAACGCACCCCGGGAGAGGTCCGGGGCGTGGCGGTGTGCGTGCCTCTGGCTCCCCCACATGCTGGGCCTCCCCGATGGGGTTGGAGCACATGGGGTCTGAGGATCGCGCCGCATCGCCGAGGTATCGGCGGTGCGGCTTTTTTGGAGAGCCCGATTTTCGGATGCGGCGCGATCCTTCGACGCCCCCGCCTTTAGTTGCACCTGATCTAGGAGGCTTTGGCTGCAGGGAGAGGCGCGTGGCTCCCCACGGCAGTCGGCTGGGGCTCTCGGCTGGAAGCAGCCGTCGCGAGCCCGTGCGCCCCGTGGCCCACGACGCCTGGCGCCCCGAGCAGGATTCCGATATCGCCAAAAACATATAAGAGAGTCGAGTTGAAGTTCTGGTAGATGATCTGAAGTTGATCTACCAAAGTTGATCTGCCAGATCCTCCCATACAGTCAAAAACCTAATAAGGACGCGCGACTTTGCTCCGGGTGCCCTTGCGTCCTTGCTCTTCCTTGCTCTTGCGTCCTTGAGGTTTTCGTCGTCCGCCGCCCCAAACAATCCCAACATCGGTTTCCAAGGGTCTTGCGTCCTTGCCGCGCGTCCTTATTAGGGTTTTTGACTGTATCTTCGACGGTGTCGTTTTGTGGTGGCCGTTCTGTTGCTTCGTTCCGGGGCGCGCTCCATGGGGCGCCCATATGGGGCCCGTGCTCGGGCGTCGGGGCCGTCCACAGCACGGCGCTCGGGATGCGACTTAGATCCGCCTCGGGGGAGGGGTCCGGGTGTCCGGGGGCCCGTCCACCGAGCCAGCCTCGGGGCGCCAGACGTCTTGGCAAGCGGCGCCCTGACCACTGTCGCCGCCTCCCTGCCTGTTTTTTTTTTTTGTTTTTTCCTACCCTCCCGTCGAAGGTCTGCAGGGACTTCTCTCGTCGCCGCGCCGGCTCCTCCCCGATGCGGGGGTCAGTCTGTGCGCGCACCTTGGCGTGCACTGGATCACCGCCGCTCTCGGGCGGCGCCGCTCGCGGGTCTACGCTCCAGTTTCGTGGCCGCGCGTGCTTGCCAGCACGGGCTCCCTGCGTACAGCGTCGGAGGCGCCTTCGGCGGGCTGCCGGCGCCCCCCCCCCCACCGTCTCCCGTGGAGGCGCTGCCGTGGCCAAGCGTTGGGCCAGCGTCTGGCCAAGCTGTTGGGAGTTCCCCCCCAGTCTTGGGGGAGACCACTGGGGGAATGTCGCAGGGGGGGAGGTGGAGGACCAGTGCAGGGCCAATACGCATCAACGATGTCGCCGTGAGCCCTCCCTCCTATAGTTCCCTCCTCACAGGTCCACGCAGGAGTTCATTATCCCTGCGGCAGGTGCCCCATTGGGAGGCAGCCGCCTGAGGATCCTCAATGGTGACACAACTCCTTTTCCTGGGATTCGAACGCCGCGAGTCAACGCGACTGTTGCGTCTGGACAATCCGAAATCTTGTCAGAACACCGTTCCTCGGACGTAAGCGCCCCGAATCAACTTGACTGATGCGTCCTGACAACCGTAAATCTCCTAAGAACACCCACCGTTCCTGGGACTTCAGCCATCGGAAACCTTGAAACTGGTGAGACCGTACGACGAATCTGTACAGCGCGATGGCGAGAGCTTCATTTTGGAAGGAGCCGCCCTCCATGTTTGAAGCTGTTGCAAACCAAGCAGAATGAGTGTGTGCGGCGCTAATGCGAGAGCCAAATTGTGGAAACGACCCGCCCACCAAATTTGCAATCCAACACGAATGTGTGCGGCGCTCAGGCGAGAGCCACATTTTTAAAACCACCCGCCCGTCACCCTTGAATCTGTTACACGCTTTCATGACGAATGTTCGCGGCGCTGAGGCGAGATCCACATTTTGAAAGCGAGCCGCCCTCCATCCGTGAAGCTGTTGTAAAATTTACTATTCAGGATCATCACGGGCCCTACCGACACTTCCGGGGTGCGGCAAGGAGGAGTTGTCCGTAGTCCAATATATGGAGGAGGAGGCTGAGGAGGAGGAGGAGGAGGAGGAGGAGGAGGAGGGGGAGGAGGAGGAGGAGCAGAAGCTGGAGGAGCAGGAGCAGGAGGAGGAGGGGAAGGCCTCTTAGGGGCCTCTTAGGGCTCTCTTAGGGCCTCCTGGATGATTCCTTGGGGCCTCTTGACAGTCTCTGGGGGGCCTCTTGAGGGCCCCCATGGGGCTTCTGGGACCCTCTTGATGGCCTCTGGGGTTCCTCTTGGGGGCCTCTCGGATCCTCCCAGGGCTTTCTTG